GAAAAGAGCTCTTTTCTTTATTCGTCCTTGAGAGACTGTTCCTTTTGGATGAGGCAGAAAGTTCTGTATCCAAGGGCCCTTTGGACAGCGAGGAACCCAACTGTCTCGAAGACAAGTCCTCTGTGGGAAGAAGGGAAGGGGTTCTGCTCATTTTGGCATGTTGATTGGGATTCTGGAAGACACAAGACAAAAGAAAATAGTTATGGTAATGGATTGTCCATGTTGGCATTTATTACGTGTTTAAATTCTCCAACACCCTCAGTTCCCTGGCACCATAAAGCATGTTAAAAGAAAACCCAATGCAAAATAAATAAAAATAAAACAATAAAAGCAGCAATAAAATAAAAGACCAAATAAAAGACTGATGAATACAAGAGATACAATATACTTTCTGATCGACAAGCTCAGCATCTTAGCCACTGAGCCACTGCATCCCTCTGATGGCTACTATATACATAAGGAGAAAATCAAAGAGCATCTCAACATGGATAAAATCGCTCAGATTTAAAAAAAAAAAGGGGGGGGTGCTTCCAGAATAGAATAGAAGTGACTTGAGAATCCATATCTGGGATCGTGGATTGTATAATGCACAAGAAAATCAGTAATGCAGCACATGCTGTTGTTGGAAACAAAGCATTGCTGATCTTCTGAAGAAGACACCTCAACAGGTTCAACAGAAAGGTCGTAATTTGAAAACGAGTGGTCTACAACCTCTGCCTCTTTCAGGCCTCCTTGGTGGAAGGTCTGAAAAAAGCAGAGATTGTAGATGCCTCCTTCGTTGGACGCCAGAAAACGTGCAAGTGCAAAGGAGCAATTACCGGTTTGACATTGGGTTCCAACGGGGGTTGAGATATTTGCTCCTTTTCTTTCTCCAGTTGCTTCTGGGCCGTCCGGAGATGTTCCAGATCGAGTTGGTAGGCTGCTTTCTTCTGCTGCAGCTCTTCCCGCTCCTTCTCCAGGCTGTGTTGCCCTTTCTGGATCTGCTCCTCCCTCTGGCTCAGCTGGGACTCCCACTCGGTCAGCTCTTTCTCCCTGGCCTCCCACTCCTTCTCCTTCTTCCTCCTTTCCTCCTGGTGCAAAGTTTGCTGCTTCTGCAGATTGGCGAGCTCTTGCCGCTGCTTCTCCAGGCTGCGTTGCTTTTCCTGCTCGATCAAGGAGTTGGGCCGGAAGGAGATGCGGCTCAAGGTCTTCTCGGTGAGCAGCAGCTTCTGGTCTTCGATGTAGGTGTCTTGTTGCACAACCACAGCCTATAAAAAGGAAAAGAGGAGATGTGGCTTTCAATTAGGCTGGGTAATTTTCTTCCTATGCTTGCAACACAAAACTAGAGCTAAAATCCCTGCGAAGAACCCATGAGAGCCAATCCCCATAAGAGAGGCTTTGGCTTTAGAGAAGAATTAAATAGAAACATTAAAATATCTTGCCAAATTAGATGTACTGCAAATCATTCCAAACCATACAGGTCAATGAGTCTATTTCAAATTATAAAGTTTCCTCCATTTGGGCCCTACTGTTGTGGCACACCGGTGGCCTGCGGAGCTGACAGCAGAGTCAGACAGTGAGGAGGTTGGGGAGGACCATGGCCCAGTCCTGGAGGCTTGGACGAGGGCTCTGCATCAGAGGCAGACACAGTGCCGAGGCCGTCTTGAAGTGATCAGGTACCTACGGAGCTAGACAGAAGTGAGGCAGAGGAACAGCAGGAGCCTGTTCCCAGTGTGCGCATACGCAGAGCTGCCAGAAGAACAGAACAACTCAGAAATCAGGATCGACTTGGGAGTAAAGTCACAGATGGAAGGTGAATGGCCCCTCGCATAGGAAATAAAAGAGGAGTGAAAGGGGAGGGGGCTTTTGCAGGAAACAATGCTTTCATTGGTTTGTTAGATTTGTTTCAGGAGCGTGAAAATCTGTCCGTGAATCTCAGAGTCTCTGTTTCAAGTCTTTCCTTGCACAGCACTGAGTTTGGAAAATATTTACATGGCAGCTTTTCAAGATAGATAAGGTCTATAGTCATAATTACTCCTTTGAAAGACTGTTTGCCAGGCCTTTGCTGAATGTGAATGAGAGGGATTCACATTCATTTAATAAAAGGGATTCTGTTGGGACCATGAATCTACTTTGTGCTTTTGGGGAAAGCCTGGATCAGAACACCTACATCTTTGACTGCTGGCCCTTGATGGTTAGAATGCAGTATTGTAGGCTAACTCTGCCCCCCGTCTAGAATTCGATCCTGATAAGCTCAAGGTTGACTCAGCCTTCCATCATTCCGAGATCGGTAAAATGAGGACCCGATTGTTGGGGACAAGCGGCTGATACTATAAACCGTCCAGAGAGTGCTGTAAAGCACTGTGAAGTGGCATATAAATCTAAGCATTATTGCTATCTTTGATTGCTAGCCTTCTACGAGGCTGCATGAAAGAGGAGTCTCAGTGCCAATGCTATCTTTCTATCCTGTATAACATTCTTCCTTCCGCTGGAAGAGTTCCTATATTTCATTCACCCTGCCTGGAATAAGGGCTCTTCCCATGACTTTGACATAGCTCTTCTTATGAGGAATTATGAGGTCAGGGATAACTGATCACTACTTGTCTGGATTGTTAATTTTAAGTTTCCAATACCACGATGAGGGTTGTAATTCTCCTAAAGGCCTTTTGTCGGCATGCTGATATATATATACTGGCTTCCAGAAACCTGAATAATAAATAAGCATCTTGTTCTTTCCATTCCTTTAATTAAGGGCCACCCTTAGTCTTTGAGTAGCATGCGAAGGACCTCATTCCAAAAATACCATGTGCCTCCTTGAAATTCAATTAATTCAGAGAGCCAAGGTGGCGCAGTGTTTAGAATGCGGTACTGCAGGCTACTTCTGCTGACTGACTGCAATTTGGCAGTTTGAACCCCCATAGGCTCAAGGTTGACTCATCCTTCCATGGTGGATAAAATGAGGACCCAGATTCTTAGGGCCATAGGCTGACTCTGTAAACTGCTTAGAGGAGGTTGTAAAGCACTGTAAAGCGATATACAAGTCTAAGTGCTATTGCTATAATTAATTAATTAATTGAATTTAATTAATTGAATTTCTCTCCTTGTCTTTCATGAGTTTCCTGTCTGATTCATCCAAGATTACAATTCAGCAAAACTTTCTCAGAGCTCAAGGGTTCTGGAGAACACATCCCGCCCTGAAGCTTCCGGTTGGAGGTTCCGGCTTTAGATGTTGCATCTCTTGTGTCTTTCTTATTCAGCTGAAATATTAGGCTGGATCAGCTTTATCACATTAGCAGAGGCGTTTTCCATGCCTCTTTCTCAGCACTTACCTGTAGTAAGCCCAGCAAGCTGTGAAGCTGAGTTATGCTCTGGAGGACCTGCTGTAGAAGAAAAAGAGAAGCAGAGAGAAAGATACTGTCAATGGCTGATTAACTTATTTGCTCCATTGGACTCCTGCCTTTTTATGGGAATCCAGATATAAGAATTTAGCCAACAGCAGGCAACTGGGAGGACGGACAATGTTGGTGGAACACCAGTCCCTAACTATTTTCTTTGTTCATTCCCATGACACTGGTTACTTGGGAGTAGCCAGCAACTAGCAAATATTCCCAAAAAACCAAATATATAAAGCTGTATATTCCTTCACATTCAGGGGGGAGAGGGGGAGAACCACCAGAAAATGTTGCATTGGGGAAAATGCGACATTCTTATTTGTCTGTTGTTGCAAATCTATACCTCTTGTTTTGCATTGCTTGGTTTTTCAAGGCACAATATTGATTTTAGGTTGACGTATGGCTTTTGCGGAGGCATAAAGGTACATAAAAACATAGTATTCCAAGGTAAGTTTATTTTATCTAATCTAAATGTATACATCTTGTGTGACTGTATAGACTTTCTCTCACTTCTGAATTTACTCATACAATGAGCTGTGGTTATTTTATATAAACTTTTGTACTGTATTACTTTGATATATATATATATATACATATTATATATATATATATATATGTATGTATGTATGTATGTATGTATGTATGTATGTATGTACGTACGTACGCACACATATATATACTTATATATATATACATATACACATACACATACACACATACACACACACATATATATATAAACACACATACACACACAATTACATGTCGTGGACCATTTAATTTAAGAGGTTATTTTATATTATGTAATTATAATTGCACCTATCAATTACATATATTAGTGCCTTTCTATTCATGTATCATCTGTTTCATATTACTGAGTTTTATTATGTACTGAACTTTGACTGTAATAAAGATTCCATTCACTATATCATTTTTTGAACTCTTTTTTTTAAAAAAAATATGTCTGTACTGCACTTAGTTATGAACACATAATAAATAAAATTACTAATTCCATTATTTAAACAAAGTGATTTTTTTCCATCAGCCACTGGGAAATGTTACTTTTCTATTAGCTCTGTATTAAACCTTATGGGACAATTTCTCTATTTCTTCAGAAGTACAAGGAAATTGACTTATGTGCCCAATTCAACATTATGTGGGGGGTTTTCTCTTCTCCCACCCAATCACAGCGAAGGCAACCTGCACATTCTCCAACTGTCCCTAACTGGTGCTCTTTGGATCAGTGGTGGGATTCAAAGTTTTTTTTACTACCGGTTCTGTGGGCGTGATTTGGTGGGCGTGGCAGGGGAAGGTTACTGCAAAATTTGCATTCCCTCCCGATCAGCTGGGACTCGGGAGGCAGAGAATAGATGTGGGCAGGGCCAGTCAGAGGTGATATTTACCGGTTCTCCAAACTACTCAAAATTTCCGCTACCAGAACTGGTCAGAACCTGCTGAATACCACCTCTGCTTTGGATGGGAGTACAACATCCATTATAATGGCATTGTGATGCAACGAACTGGAGAATATCCAGACAGAGAATGCTGGTTTAGCCCAAAGCTAGCCAAGAAGTAGAAGAGGTACTAACCAAAGTCATTTTAATAATGAATAAAGCAAGGAGACTATCAAAGGCCCGTCTTCTAAGGCGGGACTCAGAGGAAGGGACTTCTTCATGGTGGCTCTCTCGCTTTGGGACATCGTTCCTCCAGAAATTAGACTGCTTCCTACTCTGACACTCTTTCGAAGGCACTGTAGACGTGGTTTTGCCAATCCAGAGTGGGATGTAGCCCATTAAATGGCTGATTTGAGTGTGTGTGTCACCGGTATACGTATGCTATTATTTTATTATTTTTAATTATTTTTATTACTTCAGGAGCCATAGTGGCACGGTGGTTAGAATGCAGTATTGTAGGTTAAATCTGCTCACTGCTAGCAGTTCAATCCTGACGAGCTCCAGGATGGCTCAGCCTTCAATCCTTCCGAGGAGGGTAAAATGGGGACCCAGAATGTTGGGGGGCAAGATGCTGACTCTGTAAACCGCTTAGAGAGGGCTGTAAAGTACTGTGAAGCGGTATCTAAGTTTAGGTGCTACTGTTATTGCTATGTTGTGTTTTTATTTTCTGTAAACTGCCTAGAGTCGCCGTGAGTGAATAGGCAGCTGTATAAATTTTCTAAAATAATAAAATAAAATAAAACAAAACAAAAAATAAAATAAAATAATAAAATAAAATAATAATAAAATTAGTAAAGTAAAGTAAAGAATAAAATAAAAAGATAAGATAAGATTCTAGAATGGAAGACAAACAAATATTTCATTAGGCAAAAGAAGGGGCTGATTCCATATTCTAAATGTTGTGTAAACAAAAGAAAAAGAGCATTTCTGAACACAAACACTTACCTCATTGTTTCTCTTCAGCACAAACATCAAGTTAGCTGTTCCTCCCTGAGAAGAGACCATAGATACTCTCAGTGAGAAAAAGACTAAGGACGAGATCCAAATAAATAACAAACAACTTATTTTTAAAAGCTGACCTTCCCTTCCCAGAATCCCTGAGCCATTTTCTGAGCATACTCCGTCAACTTATCTTTATGGTTGCAGACCAAAATTGTGCATAAAACACCAGACAACAAAACACAATAACATAAATATAAAATAAATATGTTACTAAGTAAAGGTTCCCCTCACATGTATGTGCTAGTCGGTCCTGACTCTAAGGGGCGGAGCTCATCTCCGTTTCAAAGCCGAAGAGCCAGCGCTGTCCGAAGATGTCTCTGGGGTCATGTGGCCAGCATGACTAAACGCCAAAGGCACATAGAACACTGTTACCTTCCCACTAAAGTGGTCCTTATTTTTCTACTTGCATTTTTACGTGCTTTCGAACTGCTACGTGGCAGAAGCTGGGACAAGAAACGGGAGCGCACTCTGTTAGGGGGCACTAGTTATTTCAACCACCAAACTGCCAACCTTTCTGATCGACAAGCACAGCCTCTTAGCCACTGAGCCACCGCGTTCTCTCAATTTATGCCACTAATTGCCTTCTAATATGGAATCAGCCTACCAGAATTTAAGTTCTCTGACAGCAATTGAGATGGAACTCTTGTTTTGCTATCTTTTCTGAGATTTCTAAGGATTTATAGCTATCAGGAGAAGTGAATTTTCTTCTGTAGAACAACTGGAGGGATTTACAAGGAAGGGTGATGCTAATTAAGAGTGGCATGAATGATGCAGCTCAGCAGAAGTTGTGCTGTTGGTTCAGTGACATCCTCCTGCAGCTATCGACTTAATGCAAGGAGGGACACAACTGTTGTTCAGGTCACTGTCCTTGCCATTGCATTTGCTTCTCACCCTCAACTACACAATCAAACCCAGAATTGCAGCGAGATAAAAGCAGTGGATCCGCTGGTAATCAGAGGAACTGGAGCTGCTAAGTGGGAAAGTAAGTTATTGGAAAGGATGGCTCAATTATTGGTAGACCTTGCCGGAGAGTTGATCACTCTAGCCAAACAATGTGGGTGGAGAAGTCGTACTGGTAGGTACTGTTTGTGGATGGGGTGGGATGGCTCAGTGGTTAAAGACATTGAACTGGTCAGCTGGAGAGCTGACAGTCCGGGTTGCAGACCTGAGCTCCAAGCAATGGGTGATCTCCCATTCTTGCCCAGTTCCTGTCCACCTAGCAGTTTGAAAGCATGCAAATGCAACTAGATAAATAGGTACCACATTGGTGGGAAGGCAATAGCTTCCCTGAGCTGTTGGTGGATAGTCATGCTGGCCACATGATCACGGAAAGTGTCTTTGCACAATGCTGGCTCCCTTGGCCAAGAAACGGAGATGAGCACCGTACGCTAGATTCGGATCCAACTGGACCAGAAATCTTTACCTTTATTGCTTAGTGTGTGTCTCCAACAAATAGATGCTATGTTAAGTGTGGTTGCACCTTTTCCCAAGGATTCATGCTCCCTTACTAGCCAAAAGGCTACAAGAGGAAAGACGCAGGAGACTGAATATGGAAAGCTGTTTTACACTCAGCCATTCTGTACCTTCTTCAACACGCTGTCAGACTCCGTCCTCCGAAGATCTTGCACTTCTTCTCCTTCGTCCTTCTCGCCACCTTAAAAAAAAAGTTATTTTTGGTGTAACCAAGAAACTAAAGATGGGAGGATGCACATCACACCAAACCCTAGACCATAATTTGTACATAAAGGCTGGGTGCAGATACCAGGCTAAGCCAAAACAAACACAGATTAAGTTTCTTCAAAGAGTGAGCCTTGGGAGTGACTGTAACTACGGCATAAGCATATTTACCCGTGCAGAAGCAATCTGACCAGGGTGGATAAAAATCTATGGATTTGTTTTTTTTAAAAAAATAGATTTTTAAATTTTAAATCGGATTTTTTAAAATTTAAATCAGATTTTTTTTATTGTGATCAAATTGATTTTGATAAAATGCTTTTGGAACAAAAATCTATCTAATCTATCTAGTTTTCTATTTAAGATACAATTAATAATTTATTCAGCATGAATTGGAGCTTAGTTATGTAGCATGAGGCTGTTTATTCTGCAATATTTACATTTTTTGTAAACTCATTCAATGAATGCAAGCTTTGCAAGGTAAATAGCAAACCTTCATTATGTTTACAAGTAACAATATTAAAGATTCTAACTACCAGCAAGAATGAGTCCTTACACCTGTCATTTCAGATCCATCATTAGCTCCCCCCCCTTCACCTACTGCCCGTTACATCCCTCACCTTATTGTGTAACTGCTGCATCACCAG